CTGTAGGATAAGCACTGGATAGCTAACCACAGGTTGGTGTTCAAATCCACCAGCTGTTCCTTGGGAACACTGTAAAACTGATTCCGTAACAACAAAAACATATATAGTTTAATGAACAATTGTTACTGTTTGGTGGTGGTGGTGGTGGTGGTGGCTGTGTGCCATTGAGTCAGTTCTGACTCATAGCAACCCTGTGGAGGGTTTCCAAGGCTGTAAATCTTTAGGGGAACAAAAAGCCTCATCATTCACAGAGTGACTGGTGGATTCAAACTGCTGACCTTGAGGTTATCAGCCCACTTCATAGTCCACTATACTACCAGTGCTCCTTTTTATGGTGGTAGAAAGATAGATATTTACCACCATAAGACAATAATTATAAAAAAGGAATATAATGTCCAATACTTAAGAAGTATCCATTTCATTCTGACAATTTATATGCAGTGATAGTTCTGACTGATCCTCCAAAAGAGATTCAACAAACCAATCCTTAAGAATGTTTTCATGGTGGTTTGTTCAAGATGTCAACTGTACTCAATTTGTCCTAACTTGTTCCTAAATGAGACAAGTCTTTCTCCTGGAAGCATTAGTCCTGTTTCTCTGAATGTATAAAGTCTCACAACCTCTCTCTTGACTCTGATGCGATTAATCAGTACAGTAGCATCACTCTTATACTAAAGAGCCCACTGTGGACAATTAAGTCTTTGTTTCTCCCCTCCAAGTTGGGTTTGAATCACATTAGTCCAGAGTTACTGTACTCATTCTTCTTGACTCTTTGGGCTCAGAATTTACATTTACATTATGTTGGTCTTTTACTCTTGGGGATAAGAGAATTAAAAAGGCACATTGAAATCCACAGACATGGTTCTTTTGATTACCTCATAGTCCCAGGGCACACTGCTGGCTAGCAGACGACACATTGATTATTATAAATGGCAATGCCTCAGTCTCCTTTACACAAAGGCAAACCCGGCAGGGCTTTCAAGTTAATAATTCTTTAGTTGCAATGGAAATGTGGTGCTTCTCTTGGGAAAACAAGAACAAGAAGGCAGTAGGTGGGTTAATTTACTTCTGATGAAGTACTCTTGTTGCTAGGATGTAAATGAAGGGAAAGACTGGGTATGTGAAAATAGGTCATATCGCATACTCTTGAAGAAGCCAGGAAAGATAAACTTTGCTCATTCAGCATTTCTCAAACATGCTACGTGAGCTGGACTCCCGTTTGAAGACACAAACATAATCCAGTATTCCTCTCTGGCTCAGGGAGCTGTCTTTAAGGAAAGCAAAATACAAGAGGGCTTCAAAAAGTTCTTGGAAAAATGAAAAGATACTGGAATTTTCCCACCAACTTTTTGAAGCCCCCTCATATATACAATTGATTTGAATGGTCTACAAAGCTAGTTGAGCAAAAGCAAATAGAAGCTTCTGTTAAGGGTGACGTAAAAGGTGATGAAAACAATTAGGAAATGGAAAGTGCTGATGATTGTACATGATGGGCATATTTACGTCAATGAGCCGCACACAGATGCAAGCTGAAACATCATGTGTGTGTGTGTACATACGTATGTATCTCAAAAAGCTTTGTAGAAAATTGCCATTATTTAATTCCATGAACTTTTTTGGTATTTATATATTTATATGGAGTTCTAGTAGTGCTGCAGGATTATGCACTTGAACTGCAAAGTTGGTAGTTCAAGCTCACTAGCTGCTCCTCAGAAACTCTATATAGGGACGCTATGAGTCAGAACTGAGTTGACGGCACGTAACATATATATATGAGGTTGTTTCTGAGGAATGGCTGGTGAGCTTGAACCGCCATGTTCAAACCGACCTTGAGATCAAGTGCTTATCCTACAGTGCTACACCAGGAATATAATGTATGTGTGTGCCCACATACATACACACATACATACAGGCATACATATATACATA